CCCCCCCGCCGCCCCAAGGATTATCTTGCATGGCTACCCACTCACCCTCTTTCCTGACTCAAGAAGAAAGTTCGTTTTTTGTTTTTTGTTTTTTTCCTCCCGGACTTAGAGTAAGAACTTGAGGGTTTTAGAGTACGTTTTTCATCTTCTTCTTTTGTTTTTTTAAACCAGGGAATATTATCAAGTAAGCTTCCAAGTCCAACTTGAGAAAGAATTTCAGAACACAAAATAGTTTACATTTACTCTGAAGACTGTTAACTCAGAATCTTTTTAAAAATTTTAAAAACCTGTGATGCCTGTACTGGTATCCTGATACACTGTAAAAGCTCGGCCTTTTAATTTCTGTTGTTAAGTCTTCTTTCTGTACTGAATTTGGAGTCTTCTCCTCCATAAGTGATATCATGGAGAATGCTAAGTATAACTTCATGAATATCACGGTGAAAAATTGGAATAAAAGGGCTGACCACTTACTATTGCATTTTCCTACTGTTAGGCATGACTGAAGCCTATGGGAGTGGGGCAGAGAGTGTCATTTGAGTTGGTGCATGAGTTTTCCAGCATGCTGTTTTATTTCTTGCATACAAGTCAAGGGAGAGGGCAGCAGGTAAAGTATGCCTGTGTTACTCTCTTGAAGAAAAGGGAGCTTTTTATATCTTCAATCATACTAGGAATAGGTCTGGATGACAATAATAATAATAATAATAATAATAATAATAGCTCTAAGAGCTTGTTTTTGCCTGCTGTAGTAGGTCTCCAGGGATGACCTAGAGATAAGTCAACCCATGCTTTGGGAAGAGATAAGATTAGCATTTAAAAGCTTAACCTGTGTCATTGCTTCTGAACATATCTGCTCCCAAGTGAAGTCCTAGTCTCTGCAAGTGTTCCCAGTGCAGAAGCACCATGAGTAATTTTTTTTTTTTTTTTTTTTTTTTTTTTTTTTTTTTTTTTTTTTTTTTTTTTATTGACTGCTTGAGAAATCTTGATGGATTGCAGCTCACTGGGGAGACAGGGAGAAATTTACAGTTGTTGTATTCTGAATTCTAAATGAAGTGCAGAATTGTAGGATTCTCAGAGATTTCCCCTGAACTTATCATAGGAAAGTGTCTGCATTCCAGATCTGTGGGGTTTTTATTGTTGTTTTGTTTTAATATGCTCCTGTTGGGTCAATAAAGGAAAGTAACTCCAAAATTATACTTAATCTAGGTTCTTTAGAAAGGGAATTCTGAGGGGGGTGCCTGGATGGCTCAGTCGGTTGGGCATCCATCTTGATTTCGGCTTGGGTCTTGATCTCCTGGTTTGTGGGATCGAGCCCCGCATCAGGATCCATGTGCTGACAGTGCAAAGCTTGCTTAGGATTCTCTTTCTCCCTCTCTGTCTCTGCCCCTCCCTTGCTTATGCTGTATGTATGTGCACACTTTCTGTCTCTCAAAATAAACTTAAAAAAAAAAAAAAAAAGAATTCTGAGGATTTTACAGGCAGGTCAGCACCTTGGCTTAATGTTGTGCTTTGGCCACATCTGCCAGGAAAGGCATTTTCCAGTAGTTCCTTATTCATTAGTTGTTTCTGTAGCATTTACTGTAAGGCACTGTGCTAGAGGCTAGAAATACTGTAGTGAAAAAAATCACCTCATTGCTGTGCTTCATGGAGCTTACAGTCTACCCCTGGTTTTATATCCCAATTTACTATTTTCATGGAGCTAGAAAAGTACTTAAAGGTACAGAGATAATGGTTAGAAGTTCAAACCAAAAAGCAGTTAGCTAATATCACACTTTGAATAATTAAGAGAATGTGGAATATTACTTATACATATCATTAGGATTTAGCACTCACCGGACCCTCGAGTGAGAAGTAGGACAATGGTTTATGGCCTACTGATGAGCAAAACTCTTCTGTGTGTCCTTCCTGTGTTCGTTCATTTAAAAAATATTCACGAGAGGCTTCCCAGTGCTCGTCACGGCTCTATCCATTCTGGACAAAATGGTGAGACACCGCAAATACTGGCCGGTGGTGCTCAGACCCCATTGCAAGAGACAGATTATAAGCAAAACTGGTGGATGATGTTGCAATTCAGTTGTGTGAATCTGGACACTGGCTGCTGAGAATTGAAGCCTGCGTTATCCAGACTTCATCTGTACCCCAGTTCGTAAACCCGCGTTTGCACTCTAACCATCGTGGTCTGTCCCGTATAAGAGAAGGTTTGCGTTTTGTGGATACTTCAGTAGCAGGTTGCACCGTGTGCAACGCACACATAAGGAGCCTGTGCTGTGAGTGAGGAGCAGCTCCAGGTGCTGGAGGTAAGAGTGAAGAGCAAGAACAATAGACTTCTCATCTTCACACCATTGACATGCTTGTCAGTAGGGACAGGTGATAAACAAGTAAACTAACTGGGTAAGCAGGAGAACTTTCTGATGAAAAGTGATTCCGTGTAAATAAAACTGTGATAGGAGGTTTGGAGCTGCTGAAGACGGGTCACCTTGGGAAGGTTTCTGTGAGCAGGTGGTATTTGAACTGAATCCTGAGTGACGAGAAGGACTTGCCTTTGCAGAGCCCAAGAGGAGAAAGCTCACGGCAGCGAGTGCAAAGGGCTAATGGCAGGAATACATTTCAGGTGTTTCCAGAACAAAAAGGAGGCTGGTGGGGTTGTGGTGAGTATGGTGGGGAGAGAGGGCATGCTAAGATGGGAACATGGAAGTAGGCAAGTTTATGTTAAATAGAGCCTTTTAGGCCTTGGTCAGCAGCTCACATGTTGTTGTAAATGGAACGGAAAGGTATGCAGAGATTCGAAGCAAGCAGTGAGTACTGTCGTGTATTCCCAAAGGGCCACACTGTTGTAAGTAGCAAGCGTGAAAGTAGAGGAGGCTATTTAGAGGCCTTTGAAGGCTTCTGGGCAAGCGTGGAGCCTGTACTGTAGCCGTACAAGATGAGACGGAGAGAAGTGAATGTTGCAAGATTTATTTTGCTGGTAGAACTAACAGGGCATAAGAGACTGGATATGGAAATAGGGGAAGAATCAAGGATGGTGCCCAGAGTTTTGGCTTGAAGTTTGGAAATAACATTATCCGGGATGCTTGTTCTAAGTGTCGTCGTTAACAATGGTAACTTTTACTGGGGTGTGCCTCCTGTCCAGTACCGTACCAAGTGCTTTGCATATTAGTCCTCAACAGGCCTGGAAAGTAGGTTCTATTAGGCCCATGGTACAGGTAAGAAGACTAAAGCACAGAAAGATAAACTTTCCATAGGCCACAAGGCAGGTCAGTGGCAGACTGGGGATTCAAAGTTGGGCAGTCTGATTTTAAAATTTGTTTATTTATAGAGTGGGGAAGGGGCACTTTATATTTGTTTATTTATAGAGAGGGAGAGACACCAAGCAGGCTCCATGCTCAGTGGAGAGACTGATGCGGGGCTTGCCCCCATGACATGAGATCAAGACCTGAGCCGAAGTCAAGGCTCGGACACCCACTTAACTGAGCCACGTAGGTGCCCCTTGGTAGTCTGAATCACTGTCCCCCAGGCCCTACTCCACACTGCTTCTCTGTGCATGAGTACACACATTCTGTTTTCGAAAGCGGTCTTGAATTTATTTATTGCTGAAGCTCAAGCTGACTTTTGAAACTCTGCTGTTTAGGTTAACATTCACCCATGGCCCAAACAGTTCAGCCTCACTTTTACACCAGGTCAAGATGGCCTACCTGCTTTGGGAGAGCTGATCCAAATCCAAACCCAGGGCAGTTTCACAAACTCTTTATCATCTTCCTGTGCTGATCTTTAATCTACAGGGAAGCAGAACATAAATGGAATGTGAAATTCACTATTAGTACAACTGTTAGTTTTGAATTCAGCATCTAAAGGAGTAGTAATAATGATAAAATACCTATAGCATTGGCAGTCATGTCATGATCCGTTCCAGGCCTCTTGTCGGTGCTTTACATAATACTGTCTTAATTAATCTTTTCAAAAATCTAAAGAAATGCTATTCCCTCCCCGCCCCATGAGAAAACTGAGGCTCAGAGAAGTTACATAATTGGTTCAAGGTTATAGCATGTCAGTGACAGAATCAGGATTTGAATCCATGTCTTACTTTGCTGATGTTCTTCTGTTCTAAACATTATCTCCTGCATCAATAATGAACTTGCTGATGAAGTGTACTGTTACCAAAGGAACATGTCCCGGGCATGTCAGAGATGGATGCTTTGCTGTGCTTTAGGTGGTAGAATTACATTAACATTCTCCGGGGTTGACCATCAAAAATTTCTCTTTTTTTTTTTTTTTTTTTTTTTTCTTAAATTTTAAAGTGATCCTTATCTTACAGTTTCAATTTTGAAACACTAATGGAAAATTCCTACAGAAAGTTTAGACTAACCTTTATAAGAAGTGCTTAATAACTTGGGTTCTTTTTCTCCAAGTATTGCTTAGGGGTTAGTTGCAGATGGGATAAACCGTTCCAGCTAAACAGAGTGGGGGATATAATGAAATGTATTTGATGGCTTATAAAACCACTGGAAGGGCTAGAAGAGGAGTCTGAGCTTCCGGACTACTCTGGTTGCTTGGAACCCAGTTAAATCCACCACTGTCTGTAAAACTGTTACAGCTAATGCAGGAAGCTCTTACTGCTACTGATGGCAGGGAGTTTCTGCCCGCATTACCACCCAAGGGAGCAAAATGCATGCCCAACACCCAGCTTCTTTTCTCAAGAATTTCCTTCCCACATCAGTCTTGCAGAGTTGTACCTGATTGCCAGAACCTAAGTCACATCTGCAATTGTAACTGACTACAAAGGAATGGAAGTTTTGCAGCCACCACAGTGTAGGAGAGTATGCTAGGAGAGAGATGGAGTAGGAATTGAAAGAGCCAATCTGTAGTATCCTCGACGCTCACTACTCCTACACTGTTCATTACATTTAGCTTTCCTTTTTTCAAGTTGCTCTAAATCCAGAGCATCTAATATGTAGCCCTTGAACCAAATGTAAACTCATTTACCTTTTTAGACCTTTTTGTTTTCTGTAATGATATGGCACCCATGAGCTAGTACAGCCTAAAATAGCATGTCTCAGATTTTAAAGAATACCTAAAAATCACATGGAGGGCTTGTTATAAGTGCACATCTTTGTGATGCACCTTCAGAAATTTTGATTCTGTATGATGCTTAGGAATCTGAAATCTTCATAAACACCCCGGATGATTACATTTTCTTCTAAAGGTAAGACAACCAATTCCCCCCCTCCCCCCAACGCTGTTTCCGGTTAGGGCACCTTCAGTGGAAGCAGGTAACATTTGAACAGTTTATTCAACTCAACCAAAGCAGTTGGTGTATCTAGCATACGTTGCATAATCAAGAATGCTTATGCCGTGACCTTTGCAAACTGGGCTTATCATCTGATGTGATGGAGAAAATGATCAAGATTGTGAGTGTTCTTTGAGTTTATGCCTTTAACTCCCACTGGTTTTGATGCTGTTGGAAGCAGTTAAAGCAGAGTATAAAGATTTGGTTTATTTTAATGTGGTAAAAAAAAAAAAAAAAAGCCCAGGTGAGAAGACCTTCAGAGATTTTCTGAGCTGCTTCCTCAGATTAAGTTCTTAAAAATTAAAAGATTAAAAGTCCCTTAGAGACCCAACTTGTAAGACTCCTGGTAGCTGATCTGACAACACATCTGAGCCCATTTAATTGCAACCATAGGACAAAACAAAACACAAGAAGTTCTATAGGGGAGTCATTCAGTCCAAATTCAGCACATGGGATCAGATAGCAGCTGGAATCTGCATTCATTTTCCATCTCTCAGTTGTTGGGAGTGCAAAAGATTTTACAAGTTTTCAAAAAGTGCAGAGCTTTTGATTTACATGCGATCCCACTTTCAGAAGTGAGTCACATAGTTGATAGAGTATAAGTTACAATTTGCATTTTTGTAGCTGTTTGTTGGAAAGCTACGACACTGGGAGTGCATATTGTGGTTTAATTTTAAGAGCAGCTAATTGACATAATAGTGAACAAGGTCCTGTGCCTGTGGAGTGTTTGAAGGTGAATATCTGAATTTCAAAACTGCCCTAAATTTTTTTTTCTGTGTTCCTATACTTTTGCCAATTTGGGGGCCTGTCTCTTATTTCTTTGAAAATGTATACTTACATCAAAAAAAAAAAAAAAATCTGGCAACAAATATGTACATCTAGGTTCAACATTAAACTAGCACCTAGCAATTTTCTAGCATAGTTTGGTTTGTTACATATCATCCTCATAAAATTGATTAGAATTAGTCATCAACCAGCATTTCCCTAAAATACGGCAGATTATACTGCTTGGGGGAATTCTTTCCTTCTGTTTTTATATAACTGCTGTATTTATGAATAGCTAATGACTTACATTACCATTGTTTCTAATGACGTAATGTCTACTGCTGGCACAAATGCTTCTGCCTTGTACATGTCTATTCCAAAATAGTAATAGCAAAATTTGAACACCTAGGCCCTAGATTCTAGCCTGAGGTAGAAGTTCTTTGCAGGGATTTCCACAGTGGCCAAGCCTTGCAGCTCACCTGGCTGTCATGGACCACAGGGGAGTTGTTCCCAGGCACAGACCCTTTAAGAAAGAAGAAAGCTTAGCGCATCATTACGGCTCCACTCTTTCCAAGCTGTCTTTGCTTCTACCCAGACTAAAGTGAACTCTCTAGCCTTTCCAGATTACCTGTTCTCCTTCCTTTTCAAGCTGTTGTAGTATATCGCCTTGAAATTTCCCCCTGGCTCATTTACCACTGTGGTTTGATTCCTAGCTCTGTCACTCCGTGGAAACTATCCTTAGCAGCGTCAACCCCATTAGGTATTTTTCAGCAACCATCAGGTTGACCTCTTTCAGTGCCTGTTTTATTGCTCACACTTGCCCTCTTGTGCTTTCTTTTTACAGTGATTGCAGATCCCACAATCAACAGACTTGCCTCTCGTGCTCCGCTTCTCATTCTCTCCTCTCCTATGCAGACAGTTCTTCTCCCCCTTAGAGGGGTTATCCCCCAAGGTTTTCGGTGATAACTTCCAGTAATCTCCAGCTACCACTTCTCCTACATATCCTGGCTCAGTGAATAGCTCTACTTTTTACCCCGTCACCTAAACTGGAACTGGAGGTCATTTGTGACTCCTCCTCCTTTTATCCCACACACTTTCCGCCCATCAGCCAAGTCCCATTCAACTTCATATCCTCTTGAACTCGTCCATTTCCATTTCTCTTCACTCCCACTGCGTCTGTCCTAGTTGATGACTTCAGTGACCTCCACAAGCCCCAGTCTATCCTTCATTCTGATGCCTGATAAGCCTTTCTAAAATCAGATCTTGATCCTCCCCTGCTCTAAGATAAAGAGCTCCCCATGTCTCTAAGATAAAATCCACACCAGTTAGCAAAATTGGGAGGACCTCTGCCTATCTCTCTAGCTTCCTCTGTTTTATTATTCCTTGAAATTCATTTTCCAGTCATGTCATCAGTGTGAAGTTCTATGAAAATGCCCTGTTTTCTCAATTCTGTGGGCACTTCCTACTTCCTCTGCCAGGTGTCTTCACCCCTGCTTTCTTTGATCTGGCTACCTGCTATTCACCCCTGAAGAAGGGGTCATCTCCCAGGAGCTATCTCTGAGCCTCTCCTTCAGTTCCCCCAAAGTCAGGTTTAGCTGTCCCTCCTGGGCCAAAGAAGACATCTGCTGTGTCTTTATCTTACATACCTATCAGGTACGCCATACGTTTTTTTAAATGTTTGTTTATTTTTGAAAGAGAACACAAGAGGGAGAGGGGCAGAGAGAAAGGGAGACGCAGAATGTGAAGCAGGCTCCAGGCTCTGAGCTGTCAGCATAGAGCCCATCGCGGGGCTCGAACTCCAGAACCACGAGATCATGACCTGAGCCAAAGCCAGATGCTTAACCAACTGAACCACCCAGGCACTCCCATACATGTTTGTTAAATGAATAGGTAGCTCTTAGAAGTCTGAAAGCACTTAATTTTGTTTTTATCAGAAGGAACAACTTATCACTTTGTTTTTTTTTCCCCTCCCTCTAGCTATGCAATTTTTTAAAAACCTACAGTGAAGTGTAACTTGATTTACCTGTGCTACTTGTTTACCCAGCCTAGTAATAATTTGATATGGTGGCTTCAATCAAAAACTGACTCAGCTAAATGGACCTATACGCCATCCACAGCGTAGGTATTTTCGAAAAAATTGAATAGTTCATTAAA